GTCTGTTGACTGATCTTTGTATTTATTCAAATAATTGTTATGGGCAGGTTACAATATAAAAATGTTTGTTATAATCATGTCTTGTGATTATTTGACAGGAGTTAAACTGTAAGTGTATTTAATTTAGTTATAATGTAAAAACAATAAAAATTAAACCAAGATTTATAATAATTATCATTTTGATCCATACATTGGTAATGTCTGACTGGACCTCGTGTCACTTTATGTTCAATAAATTGGGCCCCGAGGTCAAAAAGGTTAAGAACCCCTGTCTTAAACTGTACTATATTTGATATTTTTTCACATTTCAAATAAATAAAWAAATAAAAACTGGAACAAATTGCGTTTTTGTGACTAGCTGCTGGGAACAAAATACCTAAAGATCCAATTAAAAGTTTCATCCCTTGAATTTAGGAGTTTTTTAATGCCTGAATGATTCATAGGGTCAGAATTAAATGACTTTAACAAAATAATATCAACATATATTTTGAAAACTCAGCCAAGTCCAATACAAAAACATAAAAAGTCTTAAAGAAATATCCACCAAACTGAGAAAACAAATTGATGACTTGTGGGTTTTTGCATTGTTTGGTAACACTTTACAATAAGGTACACAAAAAAATCTTAACTACTGAGGAACTACTCAGTAAATACTCTGGGACTATTGAGTAGTTACTGAGTAGTTACTCTTGGTGTCATTAGTAACCACTCAGTAGTCCCTGAGTAGTTACTGAGCAGTTCCTCAGTAGTTTTTTGTGTACCTTATTGTAAAGTGTTACCCATTGTTTTTATAAAGAACCAAAGTACCTTCTTCTTGGGTCCAGTTGATGCCTCAGCTTCCAGACTGTACTCCAGGATCTTCTGGGTGGGCTTCCTTTTCCGCTTCTTCTCAAACGCAGCAGCACCTTCTGTGGATTAAACAACTTTAGACTTTAGATTAGACTACAGAACAGATGTTTTCATGGTCACTTCTAGATAACTTGTTTGGTCCCTGACATTTGAAGAACATTATCATTTATCATGAAGATAACAGCTCAGAATCRTCATTTATTTGTAATTCTGGATGTAGTTTTAAATAAAAAACGTCAGCCTTACTGTTTTCTTTCACAAGGCTTTCTGATGGCGAGGGCTCGGCCTCAGGAGGGGGGGTCAGCGTGTTCACAGAAAGCATCGGTGGATCTCGGGTTGATGGGAGTTCAGTTTTAGGACTCTGCAGCTCAAGAGGCGKCGCCGTCTGAGCAACCTCCTCAGGAGGCGGGGTCAGTATTTCAGGAAGTCCAGTGGAGGGCGTGTTGTCGTGTTCGTTCTGGTCAGATCCAGATGCTTCAGATGTGCAGATCAAGTGTTCAGCAGCCTGAATAAATCAAAATTTGAGTGTTCTGATTGTACAAATCGTTACTGGCAGTGGGCACAGCTAATGAAAAAGTTAGCTTTACTAACTCATAAGTTGCTAAGTAAAACTATAGCTTAGCTAAYGCTAAACTGCTAATCATGTAAAAAAAATCATAAAAAAAATTAGTGGAAGCTAATGCTAAACAAGTAAAGAAAAAAACAGAATCTAATGCTAAACAACTAAAAAAGTTTTTTAAAAATAGAAGGTAACGCTAAACCTCTAAACGTAAAAAAAATAGAAAAATTGTGTGAGCTAATGCTAAACCATTAAACATGTAAAAATAAATAGCAGAAGCTAATGCAAGTAAAAAAAACAGAAGTTTAAAAAATATTTATGGGAATGCTAAACCATTAAGCAACTAAAAATGAGCAAAAGCTACAAGAAAAATGATGACCACAAAGACGACTGTCAGTCCATCACGTCTTTGTCTTCTTCAAGCTAAACACTGGTGGTGACTTACACAAACCTGTTGATGTTAGCTTGTTTGTTAGYTGTTAGCAGACTCAATGTTAGWAAAACCTAATTTAGCAGAAGCTTATTGGTCCACTAACGATTTTCTAAGTTAGTGAAAAAGCTAATCCACTAAATRAAAAATTTATTCTGTTAATAGTTGTTAGATGATTAGTGGAACCACTGCTAAAATGTAATGTAACAATATGAGGAAATCATAACTTTAGATCACAGCTTTACTTTGAAGTATTTTTACCTTTCCACTCAACTGGAGAGGCTTTTTGGATTTCTTCCTTGTGGGGAAAATCTGGTTGTACTCCTCCGTCCATTCGATCAGCCTTTTGCTGGGTTTTCTTATTCGTTTATGTTCTAAATAACACCAAAGAAAAGTCAATATTTTGCAGAATAAACAGTTACTATCAGTGATCTTGACTATGGATATTAAAACAAAAAAGTTCAATTTGTCGATTTTCATCGGACGTTTAAAAAAAAAGTCCAAAAGTCCCCCAAAAGTACCTATTTCTTACACAAATGTTGTAAAAAGCGGACATATGACTGTACTTACCKTCCAGAGCCCGACTTCTATCTCCAACATTAAGCATCAGTCCTGTGTTATTCATGGTGTAAACGTCAAGAAGGCTGGTTTCCTGCATAGCGTCCCTCTCCTTCATCTGTTGGTTCACCTTTAGTCTTCTCCATCTCGCCACCTCTCCTTTTCCACATTCTGCCCGGCTCTCCCAGCTACTGCTTTGTATCTCCAGAATCCTGGATGATTGGTCCCCTTTCGATAAGCTTTCCATTCCATTCTTTGATGAGGAATCCATTCCTAGAAAACCAGGTCCAGACCTGATGGAATGAGGTGCTCTTYGATTGTTTTTCCTTTTCAACCAATGGGAGCCCCTTCTGTTATAGGGCCTCTTGGGTTTCTGATGTGAGCTGCAYTGACTTTGTGTGACAATGCTCTTGCTTGGACTTGAAACTTTACTGCTAAGAACAAAATCCATATTTTGGCTATGGCCTTCCAATGGAGMTTCTTGTGGTATCACCAAAGGCTCCAACTTAACATGAGCACTTGGTGGACCAATTTCTAGCTCTAGAGGTGTGCCTTCTCGCTCTCTAGTGTCATGCAAGTCCTTCAACATCATAAGAAAAGTGCTGAACTTGTACTTTTTGTCTGTTTTGAAAGAGATGGGTTTACCATCACTCTCGTTTTTCAGGGACTGAAAGGAAACMTCCTTTACATTTTTAAAGTCTTTCATAAAGGAAAATGGCGACGGAGGCGACAACATAGACAGTATGTTTGAAGACTGACCTTCATGTTTTGTCTTTCCTTTAGAGGTTAGAGGTATGAAGTCCATTGGTGGAGTTGAGGATATTGAGAGGTCTTCGTCTTCACTCTTAACGTCAGGTTCAAAGTCGTTTAAATCAGAAAACATCACAGAGGGGGAGCTACAGCACGAAGATGTGCCTTGATCGCATTCACCACTGTCAACGTACTGCGATTTTACTAATTTGATTTTAGTGCAATTATCCTGCTTCACATGCGGTTTCCACTCAAGATCCTCTACATTTTTCAAAGAGCTAGAGAACTCTATCTGTTCAACCTCCTTTTGGAYTTTTTCATGCTTCTTTTGGTCGACGTCATGCATGGCCTTAAGTGCTCTGGTCATCAGCCCATTGCTGGCAGGGAGGTGTGCTGGTTGCTCGTTCAGCACTTCGTTTACATCAGAAACCAGCTTTGACTTATGAACATCCCTTGCAGGTTCCTTAGAAGAAGGGCTTTCGGGAACTACAGACTCTCGACACACCAGGGCTTCATTATGCTTAGAGGGCCCAGGAGTTGTGGTAGTGTCTGTAGCGAGTGCAATGCTTTGGTCTACCTTGTCTAACTGGTCAGAGGATTTGTTTGTTTGGTCAGAAGTCTTCTTCTGCTGTGACTGGTCTGACTGATTGGAAAATGAGTGAGTCACATTGTTTGGGTTTACAGTTGAAACTGATATCTTCTCACTGTCTCGGAAAACCAAGTCATCTGCAGATTTGTTGGAAGCATCAATCACGTCACTGTGTAAGGAGTCTGAGAGTCGAAGCACGTCGGACCCGCCGCTAGCTTTTAATTTCTTGACTGCGACCTTCATGGGTCCTGAATTTCCTGTTGAAGAACTTGGCTTGTCTCTCTGGTCTGATTGACGATGAAATGTTTCGATTCCGTTAGCATCTGATATTTTCTCCTTTGTGCATTTGAGTTGGCTAGTGGGACTAACTGTGACAGTAGAGTTTAGATATTTATCTTTTATCTCCTTACGTATCAATTTCACAAAGGGAAGCCTACACCTGGAGGCTAGACCTAATTGATTTTCTAGTCTTGACTCTGAGTCGTTAGTTTTAGCTTCCAAACAAGACACTGAAGTCTTGTTGCTTTCTTTTTCTTGATCAAAGTTCTTGTCAGTTTTACTAACCTGTTTTTGAGCTACGGTAGCAGAAAGTTTGATTTGACTGACCTTTTTTTCACTCTTTAAATCAATGGATTGATCACAAAATTGATCTTTCTTTGAGGGCACTCTGTCCCTTATAACATCTGAGCTACTTGACAGACCAGATGAAGGGTCAGGAACAGTGTCAGCTGAATTACTGTCGATCATTTTGACCTTTGAACTCTCCACAGACAACACGGCCTTCTGGTTTAAAAATTCTGACTGGTCAACAGAACTGCCACTACTGTCCTCAGACTTTGTGCTGTTTTTAGTGGTTTTATGCTTTAAAGGTCCTGATTGTTCAAGAAGCAGGTGGTTATGTGTTGGTTTAGGCTTCTCTGGTGACGCTTGGTCACTGGATGCTCCACTCAATGAGGAAGCAGAGGAAGCAAGTGTTTTTTTACTTGAAGTGGATCCATTCTTCTTTTTATTGGGCACCTTACTGAAGAGAGAGCGATCCGGCACCGGATTGGTCGTTTTCGGTCGACGCTCTTTGCCGGATTTGCTAAACCAAAGACCGCTCTGAATCTCTGGCTGTTTTTTCAGCTCTTTAACAACTGAGACAGACGGTTGAGATGGAGCTAGTTTACCTTGACGTTCAAGTGCTTTGGGGCATAAAATCTTAGGGACCGAGTCAAGGTCAGAGTACGGGCACTCCCCATTGTCTCTGTTTGATTGATCAGGGCTACGCCGTGGTGTCTTTTTAGAGTTTTTACTATCTGTTCCTTTTAGGGATTTGCTTTGCTTCTTCTTCCCAGAAGATTTCTTTAAAGTGCTTGGTTTTGTTGGAGTTGGGGATAAAATGGATTCGTCAGTTATGTGCAACTTCTCAGAGAGGGTGGAGACTGATGAGCTGAGAGGAGGAAGTGTCGGATGAGGCCTATTCTCTGATTCTGGAGGAGGGCTACAACGGAAGGGAATATCTGTGGATGCAAACATGGAGGGTGCCATTTTGGGTCTCCCAGGCAGAACAGATTCAGCTTCTGCCACGCTGGATTTCCAGGAGTTCTGAAAACGCTTGGCTATCTGCAGAGAGATATAACAAAAACTACTCAGTCTGTCCAGATATTCCTGAACATAACGATCGTGGTGTAAAACCCCTTATTTATTTTTCTGACCCATTTCATAAATATGTGTGACATCACCAATTTATCAAGCAATACAGGCACTGTGTTGTAATTCATAAAATTAAATAATTACAGTGTATTTCTTGTTCTGTTCCCTTTGCTTCCCTCTACGACGTAAAAGGAGGAGTTGTTCAAATTCAAAGCCTCCGTGGAAAGCGTGGGTTGATTTTTCCTCCACCCAGACAAGCTCCTTGAGCTCCCCAAAAGTACGGACACAATAGAGCCGTCGTGGCCGATCACTGGGCTCTAAGACAATAACAAATTATCAGGAAATTAATCATCCATGGATGCAGAAAGCAGCTGTATGAGCTAAATAGCTGAAATATGGAACACCTGGCTTTTTTTACAATCAAACCACTCTAACATTTGCCAAGATGAGCCAACGTAAAGGAAAAAAAAACCTATAAGAGTATAAAGTTGTGCTAAATGAAAGCAGAACATTAGAACCAAGCAAGAATGAAAGATTGTTGTGGGTAATTATTATGAAACACCAAACATTTATAGCCTAAAAGTTAACAATGTTTCACACCCACCTTTCACTCTGTGATAGACGCCCTGAGAGGGGTCAACAGTCACTTCACAGGGCCACCACGGTCTTCGGTTGAACTTTGCCCAAACAACTTCACCCTCAACAAATTTCACAGCTGGCAAAGATTTTCTCTTTGGGCTGTTTTGCTGCAGGACAATAAAAAGTGTTTATTTGACAGAGAGGTGTAAAGGAAACAAAGCAGCAAAGACCAAATAAAGTTAGTTTTTACACATAAAACTGAATGGAGGGTTGTGTTGTTTGTCCAAGACATGTAAAAATTGACTACAGCCTTTCTAATTTTAGCTTGTTCTCTTTAAATCAAAACAAAGCAATAGCACAAAAAGCCTGACAGTGTAGAACTCAAATGTGGCCCACCATGGCTTTTTATGTGGCCCATCTCAAGCTAAATGCCTGTTATAAGAAGACATTTTAAAACGCTGTTTCTATGCAGGAAATACCATGTAGAGCTCAGTTGTTTATTACATGCTCAGCTATGGCAGTGAGACGAGGAACGTGATGTTTYRTGTTTAGTAAAATTAAAATTGGCTCTTTGAAGGCCATCGCAATTTGCATGTGGTCCTAAGTGAAACAGTTTGACATTCCTGGTCTAGATAKAAGCTGAACCAATGAGCAATCAGCCAAAACAGCTTCTTTCACTTCATAAAGAAGTTTATCATTTTCCCCTCCATTCCTGCCATCCAACTCTTGARCCTGGTTCTGCTGGAGGTTTCTTCCTGATTAGCAGGGAGTTTTTCCTCTCCACCGTTTGCTCAGGATGGGAGACTGTGATGAAGTGATTCAACGCAGCCTGCTGGTTTCTTCGTTAGTTCGTTCTTTTTATGTACAGTGCCCTGAGACAACGTATGTTGTAACTTGGTGCTATATACAGCGGGTAAAATAAGTATTGAACACGTCACCATTTTTCTCAGTAAATATATTACTAGAGG